AACCCTTGTACACTATTGGCAGGATTATAAAATGGTGCAATTGCTATAGAAAACAATATAGAGGTTCCTCAAACAATCAAAAGTAGAAACCACCATGGGATCTAGCAATCCCAAGCTTCTGGGTATATACCCAAAAGATCTGAAAGCTAGCTCTAGAAATATTTGCAAACCCATATTCATTATAGTGCTATCTGTAACAGCTAAGGGGTAGAAGGAGCAAGTGTCCATGGATGAATGGATAAACAAAGCATGGAATATTCATACAATGGACTATTACGCAACTTTAAAAAAACTTAAAAACAAAATCTGTCACATGCTATAAGTGGATGAGCCTTAAGGCTAAGTGAAATACCAGTCATTAAAGAACAAAAGGAAAAATACTATATGATTCTATTTTTTAAGAATCATTTTAACTTCATTTATTATTAGTTTCCAATTTGATCAGAGAAACACAGAGAGAGAGAGAGAGAGAAAGGGAAAGTGAGAAAGAAAGCCACCCAGTCCAGTGTCTAGAGTAGTCAATTCAGAGACTGAACGTAGAACCGTGGTTACCAGGGGCTGGGTGAAGGGAGAAAAGGAGAGTTATCTAGTGGGTGCAGAGTTTCAGTTTTGCAAGTGGAAAAAGCTCTGTTTGACAACAATGTGAATACACTTACTCCTACTGAGCTGTTCAGTTAAAAATGATTAAGATGGTAGATTTATCACAATTTAAAAAAAAAAGAGAAAGAAGAAAGGAGAAAGAAGGAAGGAAAGGAAGGGGGAAAAGTTATTTCGCTGGGGATAAACACACATTCACAGCATAGCTTACACTTCCTCTACCTGCCCAGCTGAGCTGTGGAATCCCACCTTCACTGATCCTGTGAGGTGTCCTCTGCTTCCTAGGAGACCCCACCACAGCACTGTGTCTTAATGACCTGGAGCCATGGACAGGAGATGCAAGGACCACATCTCTGTCTCCAGGATAAAGGTTGGGTAAATATTTACTGAATAAACTGTCTAGCAGCCATGTGGTGAGCTCAGGCTGGCTGGGAGATCCCCCTTTTACAGGTAAGTAAATGGAGGCTCAAAAATACACAGTGACCTGTGTATTTTTCCATAATCACCACGCCAGCAAGTGGTGAAGGACCAAGGGGGCCCTATATCTAGATGCCAGCTATAGGGTCCCCTTCATATATCATCTCCCTTTAAGGTCGATCTGGAATCCATTTCAACAAGGAGTCTACAAGTAACAATCATCACCCTTAACAAAAATGATAACTTTTTAAGATCATGTACCCATTGGAGATCTAATTAAAGTTTGGATCTTTTTCCTAAAACAATATATATGAAACTTAGTTTGAGTATCTCTTACTTGAAATTTTTAGGACCAGAGATATTTCAGAGTCTGTTTTTTTTTAACAAATTTTGAAGTATTTGCATATAAATAATGAGATATCTTGGGGATGAGACCCAAATCTAAACAAAAAATTCATTTATCCTTCATATGTACCTTATATAGCCTGAAAGTTATTCTATACAATATTTTCGCATAGTAGAGTTTTCACTGTAACCAGTCACATGAGGTCAGGTGAAGAATTTTCTACTGACAACATCATATTGTCACTCAAAACATTTCAAATTTTGGGTCATTTCAGATATTAGATTTTCATATGAGGGAAGTTCAACCTGTCATAGTTTCCAAAGGGTTCCTGGATCCCTTGGAGCCCACTCACAGAAATTAGTTATGATCCCCTCTCCACACTGCTATTTTCAAGATGTGAGAGCCTTCTCTACATCAGAATTCACTGATGGTGCTATTTTAAATTCATGTTCCTAGGCCCATTCCCTATGAATCTGGTTAAATTAGTCCAGGACTCAGCCCAGGAATCTATATTAGGCACCTCAAAGGATTCTGGGAATGGTGACTCTCAAACACACAGACCCATGAGCTGCTGCCTCACAGACGTCTGATTGCAGCCCTGATGACCACTGGCCTCTCCTTCCAGTTGCCCACTGAAACTAGCCAGAATGTTCCACCGGAACCCAACAAAGACCACTCTAAGCATACCACTTTTCCCCTGGAAGTGCTCCCTCACCTGGGTCACCAGATGTAAAGCCTAGTGCCTTCACCCCTACCCACAACCTGATCACCACCAAGGCAGACTGATCCACCCCATGCACCTCTGGGTCCCTTCTCTCCCTCAACCCTGCCAGGGCCCTGGCCCAAGTTCCCAGCTTGCTCCCTCTTCCATCCGCCCTGCAACCTAGCCTCCATCCTGAATCCTGACCACATCACGACTCTGTACAGATCCTTCAGTGGCTACTAAACTCTAGAGCTGTGCTGTCCAATAAGACAGCCACCTGTGGCTATTTGCATCTAAATTTAAATCAAATAATATCAAACTTTGTATCCCACGGTCACCCTAGACATACCTCAAGTGCTCAACAGCCACAGTGGGCACCATACTGAACAGCACAGAGACAGCACGTCTGCATCTTCCCAGAAAGGTCTGGGGACAGGATAGCACACAATTCCTCAGGGTCACACTGAACCGCCATCAACACCCTAAACTCACCATCTCACTTCCAAGTCCTGCATGGGACAAAACCCTTCTTTGCCTGGGTAACTCCCACCCAACCTTCGGGTTCCAGCCTAGCTGTCACTTCCTCTGCTGACCAGGCCCAGGGCCCAAGCTTCCACCTATGCCAGCACTTAGAGTTGTAACAGCCAGCAGCAAGACTAGCCTCTCCCATTCCAATGGCTTTCAACTGGGGATGAGGCTGCCTCCCAGAAGATATGTGGTGACATCTGAGGACTTTCTTAGTAGCTGCTGCTGACACCTGGTCAAGAGAAACCAGGGATGCACTGAACATCCTATAACACATGGGACAATCCCCACCACAGACAAGTACTGGATCTAGTCTAAAATGCCAGGACTACTAAGCTGAAGCAGCCTAGCCCTACACTGCCCAACTCCATAAAAGGCAGGAGCTGTGCTCTGGATACTGCAAACCCTCAGCCCCCAGCCCAGAGCCAGTGGAGTACATACTATGAGTGCAGCTGTTCTGTACGAGACGCTGGACCCAGTGCCTCTCCTCAAAGACTATCAGTGGTCATTGTGGTAGGAAGTCGAATGGCCTCAAAATATCCAGGTGCTAATCCCCAGAACCATGACTGTTACCTTACATGGCCAAAGGGACCTGGCAGATGTGAGTCAGTTAAGGATCTTGAGGTGTAGAGATTTATCCTAGTTATCTAGGGTGCAGGTAACTGGTCATCACAAATGTTCATATAAAAGAAGCAGAAGGAGGGAACCAACAGTTAGCGTAATGGCTATGTCGCTGGACTCCCAGGTAGTCGACTGCGGTTCGCGTCCCGGACCAGGTGGCTTAAAACTCACACCAGGCACGTGTGCGTGCGTGTCCGAGATCCCGAGAGGAGAATGGAAGAGAAGGGATTGCGGCATGACCATCCCCCGGGGGGGGTGATTTCTCGCTTTCTGTCTCTACGTCTCTCTCTGTCTGGCGAGCGCACACGCCCTATAGCAAAAACCTCTCAAAAAAAAAAAAAAAAAAAAGAGGCAGAAGGAGACTTCATACACACACACTGAGAGAGATGTCGCATGAGGACGGAGCAGAGAGACGTGAAAGTACTACACTGTGGCCTTAATGATGGAGGAAGGCACCAGAGCCAACCACCAAGGAACGCCAACCACCACCAGAAGCTGGAAAGGCCCGGGGAGAGAGTTTGCCCAGTGCCTCCAAAAGGAGAGTGGCCTTGCAGGGACCTTGGTTTCAGCCCAGTAAATGGCGTAACTTCTATTGTTATGATCCAAGTTTATGGTCATATGCTACAAGAAACTAACATGCGGGGACTTCAAAATGTTCTGAGGGGACCAGCAGTTAGTGTAATGGCTATGTCGCTGGACACCCACGTAGTCGACCGTGGTTCGCGTCCCGGACCCGGTGGCTTAAAACTCACGCCGGGCGCGTGTGCATGCATGCCCAAGATCCCGAGAGGAGACTGGAGGAGAAGGGATTGCGGCATGGCCATCCCCCCTGGGGGGTGATTTCTCGCTTTCTGTCTCTCTGTCTCTCTCTGTCTGTCCGGCGAGCGCACGCGCCCTATAGCAAAACCCTCTCCAAAAAAAAAAAAAAAATGTTCTGAGGAAAACAGAATTAAGTATTAGCTTATTTTGGTGCAAAAAAAAAAAATGTTGAAATCATGCAGTTTTTTCATAGTATGCATTTTCCATGAACTTTCTGAAGATCTCCTATTTCATTCTGGGGGCTAGAAAACTTGAACCACAGAATCTGATGCAACAAGAATACAAAACAAATTAAACAAACAGACAGACTTTAAAATGAATGGTGTTTTGGTGCCAGGGCCTCCTGCCTGCCCACCCCAGCAGCTGGAATGAGCTACTGGCAGATCCAGATGAGTGAGCATGGCTGAGCCAGGGGGCTCTGGATGCCACAGCTGCCTGGCCCTGCAGCCACGTCCAGGTCATTCGTCATGCCTTGGTCATGCTACCTTCTGAGATGCCAAGTGTCTCAAGCAGGCAGGTGACTTGACCCAGGGTCTGAACACGGATTAGAATGAAACTTTAAGTCCTTATCACCTGTCCAGCCTCCTGCCAACCCCTCCCCTCAGACACAGTGGCCTTTCTCTGACCTTCCACCAGAGACTCTGACTCTGCACTCACTGTTTCTTCAGCTTGGAACACTCTTGCTCCGGAGTCTCCCATGGCTGGCTGTTCCTCATCATTCAGGTCTCAGCTCAACCATCACCTCTTTTGTTTGCCTGTTCAGTGTTAGTTTTGCCCCCTCCCCTCCTTCTCCAGACAGCGGGCTCCATCCAGGTGGGCAGGAACCTTGGTCCCATCTGCCTGGCGGTTCTCAGACCCCCTTCCGGCACACAGTGGTATCCAGTATATTCCAAATGAAGGAGTGAGCTGGTGAGCGAATGAGTGGGTTCGCAACTCCGGGGACCGCCTGCCCACGGCGCAATGGCAGCCTACCTGATCTTGGCCTTCCTAAAGGCCAGTTCCTCTTCGTTGCCAAAGTCCAGGGACACATCCTCTGTGTCGTCCACCAGGGCCTGGGGGGACACCAAGGGCAGATGCAGCCCGACGCGGTGCACAGCCAGCCCCCACCCACCTTGCACCCCTGGGCTGGCCTCTGCTGTGCACCTTGGGTACCCAAGTGGTGCCTCTAACTACGCGCCGCCCCCATCCCGCTTCGCCTGCGGTGCAAGGCCTTCTCTGACCACTGCGGTCCGGTCCAGCCCCAGGCCTGGGGCTCGGCGCATCCCGGCTCCTCCCAGATTCTCCCGGCTCCTCCTTCCTCGCCGCCCGCCGGCCGCAGCATCCGCGCACCCCTACCTGCTTCATCCTCTGCAGAGCCCACTTGGCCCTCACAACCCGGGCTCCAACCCGCCGGTAGCGGCGAACCGGCTTGGACGCTGGGCAGCGGGCTGCGGGTCGGAGCCTGAGCCCAGCCGGGCGGCCTCTGCACAGGGCAAGGGTGTGGGCGGGGCACGCGAGCCCCAGAGCGCAGTCGCGGCTGGGGAGGGGGCTCGGGAAGGGCGGGGCCTGAGAGGGTCGTTGTAGAAGGGACCGGCCTGGAGCCAGCTGCCGGACATGCTCCGCTCCGGAGCCAAAGAGCAGAAGGTCGAGGGCGAAGGGCCAGGGGTTGCAAGGAGAGTAGGGTCTGGGGGATCCGCGACAGCGATCCTGGGGGAGATAGCAGGGCTGGGCCAGTGACAGTTGTGGACGTTCCGTAAATGTCGGATGAGCAAGAGGCGAGGGGATGAATGAATGACGGGTCTGGAGAAGGTTGGTGTTTCAGTCTGCGCCCAAGAACTCCCCAGCGCCATGAAGAAAAGCAGATTCCCAGGCCCAGCCCGAGAATTCTGAAGGTCTGGAGGAAGAGTCTGAAATCTTCCTTTAACAGGTGCCTCTGCAGCCACCCGGCTGGGGAGCAGCCTCGCCATGGCCCACAGAATAACATCATTGAGGGTAGCAGTGTTTTTCCCAGTGAGGGCCTTCCTACTGTCTCCCAGGAGAGAAAGCTTGTGACCTGAGTGTCTTTGCAGGTGGGACAGGCCACTCCCCTCTCCTCTAAGGGCAGGGGGCTGACAATCAAGATGCCAAGGCAGCTTCTGCCCTTTGTTCTGCTGTCTGGGGCACTAGGGGCCCCTTTCCCACCCGTGAACTCAGGATCTGAACTACTAGGCCTGGTTTTCTAGAAAGGCCCAAGCCAGTTCCAGCTGCTGAAGTGTCAGACCCAGACTGTACCACCCCCTCCACCCCCCTAACCTCTCACCCCTCCCACCACCAGGCCCCAGCACCTAGGAGAGGAGGGGGAGGAAGGGAGTGCCTGGAGGGCAGGTGGAGGTGAGAAGCCGTTGCAGAACTTTAGGGGCTTTTCCTGTGTCTCTAGCTGGCCAGCTGTCTAAAGAGTTGGGGCTCGAAGAGTACCCACAGGGGTGGGGAGGTGGGAAAAACCCCTAGAAGGCGTCAGTTGGGGCTAGCTGTCATTCTCAGCACTGGCTTGGGGTTTTCTTGAGAAATGTGGCACTTCCTTCCATCCAGAGGTCTCTCCACAAACGTGGGGTCACCACACGCTTGCCCTCCTGACCTGTTCACCCAAGGGCAGAGGGGTGAAGAGGCAGATGCTGGGGCAGATCCGGGCCTCTGTTCTCCTCACGCACCCAGGTGATGCTCCGAGGTGAGCTTACAGCATCCCAAGGCCACATGTACCCATCTCCAATCCAAAAGTTCTCACCACACAATCTCTTTTGCATGGTCTTATTTCTTATTAATTAATATGTCAGTATGGAGCTCTAAAGATGGACTCCTCTTCTTTTCTTTTTTTTTTTGAGAGGTTTTTGCTATAGGGCGCATGCGCTCGCCAGACAGACAGAGAGAGACAGAGAGACAGAAAGCGAGAAATCACCCCCGGGGGGATGGCCACGTCGCAATCCCTTCTCCTCCATTCTCCTCTCGGGATCTTGGGCACGCACGCACACGTGCCCGGCGTGAGTTTAAGCCACCATGTCTGGGACTCGAACCAGACTACGTGGGAGTCCAGCAACATAGCCATTACGCTAACTGCTGTTCCCTAAAGATGGACTCTTAAAAAAAAAATCTACGAGCATTTCCAGACCTAGGAAGTGTGGAAAGTGTGTTCACATGAACTGTCCTGCGGGAACGGTCACGATAGTCTCATTCACAAGTGCTCGAAGGTAGTAAGAGCTCAAGCATCGTCGTGAAGAAATCTTGGGCCAGGCCTGTGGCCTCATGGTTAAGGGAGCTGACCAAGGTGCAAGGTCCAGTCCCAGTCCCAGAGCCTCGAGAAACACCCAGGCACATGTCTGCGCATGCCCGATGTCTCTCCAGGACAGAGACACGGAAGAGAAGGGTTGCGGCATGACTGCTCCCTGCTGGGGGTGATTTCTCCCTCCCTCTGTCTTTCTGGCCAGTGCATGTGCGCTTGAGCAAAACAAAAACAAAAACCCTCTCAAGTCATGAGGCTCCTCTTCTACAATTTTTCTGGCAACACGTCCACAGAAGATCTGGGACCCTGTGTTTTTCGCATCTTCTGGTGTTCTGATGGCTGCATCCCTGAGACCCTTTTTAAGCAGCAGGCCTGCCATTCCGGAAACGCCACCCCGCCCAACTCTCAAAGGCAGTCATCCAGACAGTAGAAATGCCACTGCCAGTATGAGGCTCAGACAGAGCACGGGAGCCAGGTAAGCAGGACACGCTGGGCCTTATCTGCAGACTGTTTGCTGAATGAACAGCAGGCGTTGGACCAGAGACCAGGAGGTTACCCAACAACACTGCCCTTCCCCAAGGCATCCTTAACTTTCTACTAAGGCAGATTTTGCAGTCGCTCCCCCTCCTGCAACCATGCTGTCCAGGCCCTGTGCTGACATGTGCAAGAGGGAGGAGGAAACCTAGGTCTCTGCTTTCAACCAGAGGCCGCCACCTTGGTGAATGCCAGACTCCCACGTAGTCCCATTAGGTCACATGGCAGGGCCCTTGTCCTCTGTGGGCCTGCTTCTGACCCTTCCTGTGCACCAGCACTGTGGCCAGATCCCACCACTGTCAGAACACCAAGGTCCTTCCTTCCTGAGGGCCTTTGCACATTCTGTCTCCACCGCATCGATGCTCCCCCACCACACACACCGATTTTCCACAGGGCTGGAAATGCACAGGCTCAGAGTGGCCCTCCGAGTCCTCAAGAGGACTTTCATATCTCTCTTTTCTCTTTTCCCCAGGTTTGGTCATTCTTACTCTCTTGTTACTCAAATATCAGCTCAGTGAGGGTAGGACCCTGTTCAAAAATAAAGTTCAGTACAGCTGGGCTCCCTTATTTTCATTTGCTAGACCTGGCAACACTACCTGGGGAGGGATGGTGGGGCTGTCACCAGGTTCCAGGTAAGCAGATCTTGGGGCCCCTAGGGTCTCAGGGAGCACTGCCCACAAAAATGCCAGGCCAAGGGCAAGGAGTGGCTGCCGGCCCTGGCCTGACAGCGTGTCACTTCCACGCTGCTGGTAGGGGACAGGTGCAGCTTAGAGCCTTTTCCAGTCCCAGGTATGACTCTACCTTGCTCCTTAACCCTCTGTTACTACCCTTCACCACAAGGTAAAGAACTTCCGTGTGACTTGGAGCCCATCACGGCCTGTAAGTTGCTTCTCTGCCCTGTGACCCTGTTTCCCCAGCTGTAAGGTCTTGATGGTACAAGCCCCGCCATGGCCGGGTGGTGTGATGGTTAACGGTGGAGCCCTGCAGTGGTTAGCACAGTGCTTGGCACAGAACGTCATTGCTGCTGTTGTCCCTTGTCCCCTGCAGGTGGCTCTTCCTGCTGCTTGTGCTTGCTGCGGTCCCCTTCTCGGAGGCTCATGCTGCGCCTGAATACAACTCCCTCTGCCTTTGTCCCCAGCACTTCCTGGAGAAGGGATATTCCACATCAGGGGGCAAAGAGTCAGCCAAGTTTTGATGCAGCCCACCTGGCTTCCTGAGCAACATGCCCTCTTGCCAGGGCCAAAGAAGTGTTGGCAACAGACCAAAAAAAGCCTGTCGTGTTCAGGATGAGGCCACAGGGTAGAAATGTCAGGTGAGCAGGGCCTTCTCCGGCCACGGCTGGGAGAGTGCTTCTTAACCTCAGTTCAACCTCTTGGAGTGGCCGAAGCTTGGCAGGTCCCGCCCCGGTCCGGTGCTGGAAAGATCGTGCTGCTGGCCTCTCCTCACCAGCCAGAAGTCCAGCTGGATTGTCCCCACTAGAGAAGGTGGGGCCAACCACCAGGACCCACTTGGTCAGGACCTGAGGAGCTTTCCCACCTCAGCCCATCACTCATGCTCCATTAACGCTGGCTAGATGCCAAGGTTTCCCAAAACACCTGAGGCCATCCTACCACGGGGCCTTGGCACCTGCTGTTTCTCTTGCTAGGAGTGCCCTTTGCCTTCTGTTTTTCTTTCTCTTTTTTTTTTTTTTTTTTTTTTGAGAGAGATTTTTACTGTAGGGCACATGTGCTTGCCAGAGACAGAGAGCAAAAAATCACCCCCCCCACCACCCCAGGGGGATGGCCATGCTGCAATCCTTTCTCCTCCATTCTCCCCTAGGGATGTTGGGCACTCATCACACGCTCCCAGCATAAGTTTCAAGCCACGAGGTCTGGGCACACACTCGACCACATGGGAGTCCAGAATCTTAACCACTATGCCCCCTACTGGCCCCTCCCACTTTTCTCAGCACTGAAAAGATGAGGTCTTCCCTGATGCGACTCAGGTTCCACCCGGATGCTCAGTCTCTCCCTGGGATCTGAGATCTGTCTCCTTTATAGCATTTTCCATGATCGCCACTTCTCTGTTTTCTTATTGCTTAACTGTCTTTCTCCTCCCCGTAATACCTGGGTATCACCTCTATAAGAGCAGCTGCCTCTTCTACCCCCGAGCACAGCACCAGGCACAGTGTGGGCATTCCACAGCGTATGGGGAGTAAGAAAACGAGGTGTAAATAAGTCTGGGAAATGTGTCCTGCCGTGAATCTCCGCCCAGTCTGCCAGACATGCGCACACATACACATGTGCGCACACGCACCTGCACACACGCACGCGTGCACAAGTGCACACACATCACCTCTCAGCCCAGATTCATGTGCTGTCCTTGCTGCCCCTCAAACACCCTGTGGGTGGGGACACCCCTAAGCCACGACGTCAGTTCAAGCCTAAAGGAGCAGCTGTAACAACCCAACTGGAGCTTCCCTCATGGAGAGGGTGGTGAAACAGGCAGCGGAGCCCTGGCCTCTGGCACACGGCCTGCGTTTGCGTCTTGGAGGAGGAAGGCAGGCTATGCCTGGCTGCCTGCCTAGGCAGGTCCACGAGCCAGCAGGCAGGGGGCCACCACTTACGGGAAATGCTCTGTTGAGGAGAAAGGGTGGCGAGTGTTTTGCCTGGCCCTGGCTCCTGTCCAGACTGGTTCAGGAAGCCTTGCAACACTGTCAGCCCAGTTCCTCCCATGGGCTTGG